ATACTAAATACAACCATTAACTTTTCACTGGCATAGAGAGTTAGCTCCGCATTCTCAATTTTCACTCGCCAGGCCAATTCCTAACCCCTTCCACAACAAAACCAGCCTATGCCCCAGAGAATATCAAATGTATTTTAGACTCTAAGACTCACATTCCTTCTATCTCATCTTTTATGAAAATTTCGTACAAAAATATGAAAATTAAAAATTTAGAAATACAAAACTTTTACATAAAAACATCAGAATCACTAAACAAATGGACTGCTAAAAAAGGAATTATGATTACAAAAATATAATTGCCATGTGTTTCTTTATCATGTTTGTTGTATATTTTGTAATAAGAATATTCCATTTTGAGCTTTAAACAGAAATTATATTTTTAATTTGATGGCAATAAAGATACCAAGAATAATAAATATACTAAGTACATTTTAAAATTTACAATTAAGTAATGAATAGCCTATGTTAGGAAGGACAGACAGTGATTAGTATAGAAAGTCATCTTGTGGTAATGACCACTGAAAATAAATATAAAAGGCCATATATTACAACGCCAGATATCAAATGCGCATCGCCTAACTACTCAAGTTCAAGTGCAGTGGTTTCTCAAATACAAATCTACAATCAACTAATGCAATTAAAGAGTATAAATTCTGAAATGAATAATAAAAAACCACTTTGTTTTCAATGTGACAACCATGTGTTTCACAGTAATTACGCAGCATTTTTCAATTTCCTCCAGCCATCTTTTGTCAGATTCTTCTCAATTAGCGTCACTCATTTTCCTACAAGTTTGACGTCAATTTCCAACTGTTAAATTCCAAACAATGTAATTTTCAAGCATTCCTTACGGAGCAGTGCCTGTTGCTGGTTGTGGTCCACTATGCTGCCTAACTTCATTAACATCTACCGTGTAACTCTCAGATATTAGTTTAGTGGAGGTATGCGGTGTCGGTAGAGCTTTAGGGTTAACATATATTTGCCCTACTTTCACTTTATGTAAATTGCAATCTATTTCTAGTGCAAAATAATATTGTTTAATGTTAGACGCATTACTTATTGTCTGCATCATCTATTCATTATTAAAATCAGAATAAACAAACGAACGAATGAACAAAAATAAAAAGTGAATGCTCTGTAATAATTAGAGTAAAGCATGCATAAATAAATAAATACAAATAAAGTAAGCAATACTTTAATAATTTCTTTGTACACAAAGGCAAGATAATACTGAGCTGGCTCAATGAATGAGTCAGTAAATGGATACTGCGATGAGTGAATGAACGAATGAATGAATGATGGATTGGATGAACAGATGAATGAAAGAATAAATGAGAGAAAAAATTAATGGATGGATGGATGTAATAAATGAATTGATAAATGAACGAGAATAAATGAATGACAAATATATAAAATAATGAAGCGAAGAATAAATCAGATGGTAAAAAAAATGGAATAAATACATGAATGGAATGAATGAATGAATAAATGAATGAATGAAAAAATAGATGGATGGATAAAGGATTTAATTAAATTTTGAAAAATAAAAAAATCATTAAATGAATAAATAATTACATTTGTTTAATTACAAATGTTTGATATACAGTACTTTATTATCTGTGAAATAATAAATGAATGAATGAAAAAATGGAATTAATAAATATATATAAATGTTTGATATCTGATATACAGTACTGTTTATCTGTGACACCAATTCATGAGGGTGGCCATGAAATTCCTTGAGGACACCACTACAAAAAATAATATACAACATTGCATCTGTTGAAGAACTTCAATGGCTTGACCTTCAAAAGCATTGTAAATTTGTGCCAATTAATTTTTTAGATGAGGTCAACTATTATGTGAAACCTTTTTAAAAGACAACTGTTTTGGAATTATTCAAATAATTATTTTGCTTTCGCCATTAAAAAAAAAATTATACAATAGAATAATGTTTTATATATTTATGTGGAATACATAAAAAAAAATTATATGTACCACCAATTGTATTCACTTTCACTTTTGTATATACTATTATTAGAGTAAATAATTATATTCTGGAATGAATAATTTGCATCATTTAAATAATTTATAACATAAAATAATAATGATAAATAATATAAGAAATATAATAAGCTACTACAAATAAGTATGTTAGCTGAATCACATGCAAAAAAAAATAACAATATTTTTGCAACAAAAAATGCCAACCCAAGATTTCCAAGATTTCAGTTAGGCCAAGCTTAAGCAATACAATAGCTGTTATGGACCGAAAAAATGTAAAATTTGAATATGCTCTACAACAGCGGTTCTCAAAGTTTTGGCCACGACCCAAACAAATGTCCAGGCAATTTGTTGCAACCCACTTGTAAGTACGTTAAAAAACAGATACTCATAATGGGGCGTTAGCTGATAAACAATGAAGTTTTATGATACTTATAGAATGCACTTTCTTTACTACAGTAAATTTTAGCAAGTCATTTCTTATTTTAAGGAGTCCAGCGACCCTCTAAACACATTTTTGCTGCAGCACTAAAATCATGCAGTTCTGATTTCCAAGTTAAAGTACCTTTAATTGAGAAATAATTTATGTATTTAGTTGTTGCATGGAAACATTATTCTGAAATCAAGCAATGAATGCACAGGGAAGAAATGTATTCTACTGTATAGTATTCGCCAGTAATATGATATGTCAGCTTCATCAAATTATATGTAAAATTTGATCACCTAAAGATATACTGTACAGTTTTGTCATGAGTTAAAAAAAATAAAAATTCCCTATTTAAATTACTTGATTAATTTACTTAAGCTCTTAACTTACACATAAAAATCTGACAGAAAAAAAAATAACACCATCAAAAAACCCTCCAGTTCTTTCATCATTAAATTGGTCTTTTTTGTTTCTGGATACATCTGACTTTCAGCCACTGAATGAGCTCAGTGAGTTTGAAAGGCAAAAGAAACGTAATTGATGTTTACACTGCGTCACCCAACACCGCAAGAAATTAGCCGGGGCATTCGCGCACACCGGAGAAATCTCCAATCAAATCAAAACTGTACTCATTGTTGCTTCTTCAGATGCTGCTAAAATCTTCTCCCTGAGGAGAACGATGGACAGTCAAAACACGACTGTCTTCCAACGAGTGATCGTTTCATTTCGCACTTGTTGTGGGTCTGCCGTCTCCCCGGGGATCCAATTAGGTTCACAGCACTTTAGCAGGGGTGGCATCGCTACTTCCGCGACTGATGGAATTCCTTGCTGGTATGTGTCAATCACAGCTAGAACAAAAGGATGTTGAATTTGGAAGATGTTTGAGATGTTTTGATACAAAAGTGTTTTGCGATAGGATTAAAAGGTGGTGTCTCAAGGCTGTTGGTATATGTACCGCCAGAGGGAACAACACCATTGAAGCCATGGGCTAGTAAATTTTTGATTAAAATTGTTATATTTTGTAGCCAAATCTAAGATACTTATTTTTTACTCAAAGCTTGACAGACATCGTGAAGACCATACCCCCTTTTAAGAACACTCCTAACATCAACAATTACATGTCCACACTAATTAAAGGCAACAACTAATATTGTTGTTTATCTTAGTATTCATTCATATGTGGCTTGCCATGCCAAAAGGAGCATGATTGGCCAAAACAAGAAAATTTACTTTTAAATAATATATATTCATATTCATCACATTACAAGCAAGCTTTAAAATGATAGGTACTGGAAACGTCTTACTATAGTGCCAAAGTCCAACTTTCAAATAAACAGTTCAGTGTTTTTAAAGTCATGATTTCCAAAGAATACCTGTGTTCAAAATTCTCCTACCTAAGGCAAATCTGTATATTGTTACTGTACAAAGTATATTACATTTCAAACCATTCAAACTTTCTCATTTTGAATTCAAAGTTAAACTTTCATAGAATTATGTTTCAGACAATGATAAGCTATAAAACTATGTTTAGCAAAGTTCTGGTATGTATCTCAAATTCTTCGACTAACTTACGAATCTTATAACTATAGGATGGTGAAGTAGAAAGTTGTAGTTACTCATTTCGACAGCCAGGAATATGCATCCGATGATGCTTCTACATAAATATGCGACATCTGACGTCAATTATGTGGAGCATTTGCGAGTGATGAATTGTTCCACTAATATTCTTTGATCAAATACAAACGTTAAACTGTCACTGGGCACAGCTAAATGCAACTGTTAAATGCTTAATTAATGTATCGCTGTATTAAGACAGTTAATAATACGCAACACACATGTGATGAAGACACACAATAACCATGACCCCGCGACAACCCCTTGAAGACCATCTTGAATACTTCTCACATATTGAAATAATTAAAGAGAATATTACATGTTACTATTTTCAATCTGTCTCCAGGCCATAATAATGATGTTCATACTTCATGTTAATATTAATAGCGAATGCTGATGTTGACGTTAATGTTGACAATAATAATGTATGACAATGACAATGATTAATAACAATGATAATGATAATGTTAATGACAATGATAATAATATAAATGATAATGATAATATAAATGATAATGATAATAATGATATTAATGATAATGATAATTAACCTGATGTTAATGGTGAATGATGTTGACATTAATATTGATAATGATAACGTATGACAATGATAATGATTAATAATAATGATAATAATAATGTTAATGACTGATGATATTAATGTAATGATAATAATGATATTAATAATAATGATTAATGAGCCTGATGTTAAATTATGATAAATCATCTCATTGCATTACTTCCTTATTTCTGATTATACTTTTGGACAACAAAAATGAAGCAACAAAAACTCGATTTTTTGCAGGATATGATATCACTGACAAAAACTTTCTGAACATTACACTATAGAAACCAACCCAATGAAGTATTAATTGTGTATTTTCATTTATATTTGTATTCTGTAGAATACAAGGTATGTTGAGGCAGTTCGATAGTTTGACAATGCAAATTATGCTGAACTGCATTAACCTAATATTAAAATTACCATTCCATTCACATAGAATTATGTAAAACATCAATACAAGAATACAAGGAATATTTTTATCTATTGAGTGGAGTTGACTAGCTTGGCAGTTAAGATGCTTGCCTTCCAATCCCAGGGTCCTGGATTTGATTGCTGTCAGTGTTCTAGAATTTTTCTCACCACCAAAAAAACTCCACTCCCAAATCCTCACATTAAAGTTAGTTTGTGTAAAGCATCGTGTGTGTATGTTTGTCCTGTGAAAGGGATTGTCACCTACTGTGCTTCTAAGATGGTGATATATTCAATATTGGCAATTCTTGGCGCATACGTGTGCGCCCCTAAATAAATAAATAAAAAATATAAGCTTTTCTTTGTTGGAAAAAAGGGTGTTAAAACTTTTTATCCCCAGACTGAAATATTCACAATTTTGTATCCTATTAACTGCTCACGATTTCTTCACCACCTCTTCAGAATCTTCGAAAAATTCATTTTGACATGTCAAAATATATTTTTCCTTGGGACCCTGGCTAAGTGTTCTTTGCACCTTAAGAGTTCTTTGAATTGGTTATATCTGGGTAAAAGTAATTCAATGTAGAGGACATAAAGATAATCATTATATTTTGTTATATTGTACTAAGTCACTCACCATTGTCAAGAGCAGAGGGAGGGTAGCAGCAAGAAAGAACCCTTCCCAACGAATTCCAAGCCAATGCCACAGCCATCTCACCTAAGATTTAATTAAAAAAAAAAGAATTTATACAATCAAAATTTATGGTGTAAAAATAGGACGAAGGAATCTTTTTATTAAAATAATTGAGAAAAAAAAATGGAATTACGAAAGCACATGAACATTAACATGCAGAAGCAGAGGAATCATACCCAGCTGTGATGTACTCCACGGAATGTTTGCTTTAGATTATCAACACAAACCATCGACATCTTAATCTCGAAATGCAAACTTGGCACAATATTGCCAAACCTGTATCCATCATTTCACGTCTGTTTATCAATAACAAATTGTAACCAACGAGAAAAATGTGTGCGTCATTAAAGGCAAGCTCACGTGTGGAGAGAAATGGTTCATGACTACGAAAATTATCTTTATGAAATGCCTCTATATAGACAGTCCATTAGTGGTCTAGGAGATTTTTTTTTTTTTTTTTTTTTCAAAAAATGGCTATCCAGAGAAATAGCCTCTAATGGTCACCTGGTCAAGTGGTTGCACACTTTTTCGATTACTCTAGAATTTACTTGATAGTTTTGCTTTCATTTTCATAACAAAATGAAATATGAATATTAGGAAATTTTCCATATGAGTGCAATATTTCTATTTAATATTTGATTTAAAAGAATTTACACTCTTTGTTAAGCTAATTTAATAAACTTGCAAATAAAAATGAATAATTGAAATGCCATTAGCTTTCAATTAAATATTAGAAAATATTTTCTCCTAATTAACACTAATAGTTAATTAACAAAGACACATAATCAATAATTTTCCTATACTTTGCACAGACCCTTGGAAGGTGTTTTGTGCTTGTATTTAACTCATAATTGATGTATGTAAATACTGGTCAATTAATAGATCTTTTTTGTATGGGCGGCCATTAGGGCCAATATACTCTACTGTTCTATTATACCGCCCTCATCACCGTTTAATGTTTAAAAAGGCTACATTGCTTAGGCAACTTCTAGACTTTTTTATACCTTATTTAGTTCACCCACCACCTGCCAATAATGATGATTTCAAATAAAAATATAATTTTATTTTGGCCAATTAGCTCACCTGCCGCAACAAAAAAAAAATTGAAATTTCAGGAAAAAAAAGTTTTTATTACACCTGCCGCTGCTTTGAAATCTCAAAGAGTCTGTATATTTCTTCCTAATTATATAAATTTAAAGCATTTAACCATCCCTTTACTGCACTGTATATATTCACCAATAAAATGTTAAATAAAACCCTTTACTAAATAAGAAAACTAAATTTAATTTTTTTTCCCATGGCCTCCTTTTACGATTTTTATTTGCGAAACAAGGTATCAAAAAGTCTTGTCTTATTGTTAATTGGTAATCTTAATATTACAGTATTGATTTTGATTGTTACAAACCTGGAAGGAGGATTGCATAATCATTGTTTCGACATCAAGTACAGACAAAGAAACAAAATTCAAAATCCAATAAACATAAATTGCAAGGAATGTGTATCAGAACCTAGAATAAATAAATCCGATACCTGGACTAAATATTCCAAGTAACAAGGTCACACATTCAGATAAGGTTCGACTTTGTAATGTGTGAAACTCGAAAGCATCTTTGCGGACAGGTGATGGCGGAGAGAGCCATCATGAAATAATGGACGTTTGTAAGTACACCTGGTTTTTAAAGGCTTGAGTTGTTGTGACAACTTATCTCACCTATTAAAGGTCAAATGAAAATTTCAATTTTGTGGTAATTTCTTCGCTTTATCAATTGGTATCTAACCTTGGTTTGGACTAGGCTCTGTGCGCTTAATCGTAACAACTTCACCATTCGTGTTATTATTAATAATAGACGTACATATCCAAGCAATTCCTTTCAATTACAGAAAATATCAAATTGACGATAACATAACATACTCTTCAAGATGACTGATAGGAACGAGCTTCAATTAATGAGTATGTAGCAGGTGGAAATACAAGATGCCCCAACATGTTAATCAGTCTGGGGTGCCACTACTGCTAACATGGATGCAATTGGAGGTTTAAGATAATTTGGCTTAATTTCACCTTATCTTTAATAGTATCAAAATTTTAGGAATTTGTTAATATAACACTGAAAGTGGTACCATGATTACTGTATTAAGTATAACAATAATGATATCAGGATGAAAAGTGGGGTGGTTTGTTATGAAATCCTGTTGAAAACAAAAAGGAACTTTAAGAACTTTTCTAAAATTAAAGAAATGTTTTAATAGTAAGACTATTTTATGTCAATTTTTAATGACATTTACATTTACATTTTTGATTTATTCCATCATTAAAAATACAAAAAATAGAGGACATGGAAAATTAATATTTATACAGTTTAAACAGCAGTAACAATAAAATTATACACCTACACGACCAGATTGTCAAAAAAGTAAAATCAAGTTATGTCAGGTGGCTCTCTAAAATAGTGTATAAAATTTAAAAATAAAAATAAAATTAGCTTAGACTTAAAATTAAAAGTTATTTATGAAAAAAATTAAATTAAATATTAATATAGCACACTCAAAAGTTAAATACACAGAATAAGAATATTAAACATTATATTTCTTTGTTTTTACATAATTTTACACCAAAACATTTTACATTAATTATGACTAAACCTATGACTAATTCAACTAAGCCACATAAAAAGTTATCGTTGTTGAAGTGTGTCCAGACATATTAAATCAACAAAAACAATTTTTATTGATTACCTGGTTGATAAGTAGGCACAGGGCTGCTTATTTTTATTTTACAAATCACAAATTAATGCAAAATTAAATTTAATATTTTTGCTTCCTCCAAACTACTAAATGTACTACTGTTTTGCTATAATAGAATAAAGATAAAATTTGGTCCTGTAGTCATCTGATCAAGATAATTTTCATGGGCGGAGGCACAAAAATACGTTTTCAAGGCCTGAGTAGGCAATAAAGTTTAACTTTATGTATAGTTGAGGATCCCTTCCGAAACAAGCATTCCAGCTTAAGATAAGAAAAGATTATTTATTCATCCAATTTGTAACAATCGGAAAATTGCTTTCCTTTGGCATAGAAAACAGTAAAAACACAGAAATATAGAGCACAGACAAAATACACAAAAAAAATATGTCCCAATAAAACAACAGACAATAAAGAAGTTTAAAATAGCCACAATTACCGGCGAATTACATGCTTATTAAAAATAGAAACAGAATTCGGAATAAAATAGTACCTGTACCTAGACGTACGAGAACGTGGTACACACAATAAAGGTTGTCGCCACAGTGCAGCGCCACCTAATTTCAGGACTATCCCCTGTTATGTCATGTTTATTTTTTTTAAGTGTAAAAATGATGGCCCAAAAATATTGTAGGATGATAAACATAAATTCAAAGGAAGCTCTTTTGGAATGGAACTTGCTGCTAAGCCCCGCCCCTTGGATATTGTTGCTAAGGTCCCACAAGTCTATAGCGTAAATGTACATAAACATGCGTGTTTGTGGGACAACACCTGTGTTTGTTGGACGCGCGTATTCCTGGACAGTTGTTAAGTTCACTTACTGTAACACTCTGGAAAGGGCCACTGTTAAGGTCACCTCACCTCACGCATGAGTGATTCTGTTCTAGCGTCGCGTTGTCGCGCAAATTGAAAGCTCCCTATTGGCCAGTCTTCGCTTCAACGTAAGTGAAAGGAAGAGAAACAGACAAAAGTCAAATCGTTTTCTTGTGATCATCATCACATTAATTAACACACTTCAGTAGCTCTTCTTGTCTCACATATGCCTCCAGGGTTGGAAAGATTATGGGACCATGCAGCTGTTGGTCAGAAGCAACGTGCTGTTGAGCTATATTATGTGTATAGGTAATATTTGGTACTGGAGGAATTTTATTCAAAATATGTCAATTGTCATGGTCAGAGACACAGACTGTCTTTTTTTTTTACCTGTATGCCACACTCACAAGTAAATAATTTCTTTATCCATGCTCACTACTTGTTTACAATCACTGAAGAATTATTTAATTTAAGTATTACACTTTCAATAGACGTATGAGCACTATTACAGTAATAAGGCTCTTCGTGTCTGAGCTACCCAGTAAACCGGTGCCAGCTACTCTTGTCTGTCCACAATACAGACCTATAATTTAATCCTTAATCCAAGAAGACTTGTTCCACCACCAGATCCAAAGGCTTGAACCAGTGCTGATAATATGGCTGTAGGTTGGCAATTTGACTCACACTATTAAAGTGCAGTATGATGATATATTTAATACAAACTTTCAATTCGGTATGCTGAACTTATGGTATACAGTAGAACCTCGATTTTACGTTCGGTACGGGACCGGAGGGCGTACGTAAATCGGGGGATTCGTAAAATAGAGGTTGTGTTAAATTTGTGGTAACCTTTGATCTAATACGTACGTAATGCTCAATATACATATGTATGAATGAACGAACGAACAATGTTACCTAGCTTGGCTAGACCTAGCCTCTAGGCCTACGAATAAAACAATGTGTTTAGTGTTTTTATTCATCCCCTTACGATGTCATAATAAAGTGTTGAAATAAAACCATGTGTCTAGTGTATTAATTCATCACTTTATGTCTTTTATTTAACAAAAGAACATGAAAATATTGTAAGATTACCTATACGACAAAGGTATAACTTGGAATTCCCCTTGATGCCTATTCTAAACAACAGAGCTGTGGTGTTGTCTGGGCCTGTTGAGACAAACTAAAGCCATGTGCACTGGGCGAGCCAACCAATTAGCGTTCGTGTACGAAATCTCAGCTTCGTGTAGAAAATTAGACCAGACAAGTTTTTCCATGGTTTGCCACACGAAGATAAGGAGGAAAGCAATTATTTTGAGCACCATCGGTAGTTGTTCATCTCACTCAGTTCACTTGGTTATAACAACCCCGTATTAGACTCAATCAATGTTGCTGTTTAATGAAAATACGTTGCATTATGGTTTGTTTATTGTTATAGTCTTTTTACTTATGGTTGCTCTGAAAAGGGCCGTTTGTTTTGAATATTTTCGGGGATTTTGGTGACGTCATCGTCGATACGAGGCGTACGTAAAACTGAGGGTTCGTATAACTGGGGTACGTAAAAACGAGGTTCTACTGTACTTTAGTATACCATAAGTTATATTAGCTAACTCAAGTACAGTAGTTTTCTATAAAGTGTATCAGACATCCCAAGGCAAAACAATGTAACCAACATAAATGGTATTACGGTACTTGGAAGATTAACTCTGTTTTTAGCAAGCTAGTAGCAGTATTAAGAGAACATAAAAAGTGAGAATTCCGACAATGAAGCCTGACATAAAAAAAAATCTTCCCAAACTCTCGGGGGTCGTCTTATAAGCGGAATGCTTTATTACACGAGAGTAATATTGAAGTAATATAGAGGAAACACTGCTAACCATAGTACTTACTGGCTGGTCCTGCCCTGTTGGTTGTCCTATGAACAGTAAAAATATTGGTGCAATGACACAAACTATGGTGACAGCAGCAATCCTCCTTGTGACAGTTTTTGGATGATCCCTAAAGTAGTAGCAGAATTGTAAACAAATTATTTTGTAGCATATTGACTGTCGACCAGACTGTATAGTAAGGCATGCACAGGGCATATGCCCCTGCGCAAAGATCAGACCTAGAAATTCATCCGCGTATGTCAGAAAATAAAGGCCGATTTCCGCGTAGGTTTTGCCAAAAATTAGGCTTTGACCTAATCTTAATATAACCAATGTATGCAGTATCTGCGCACTTATATTCCAAGCGATTTTCCGTGCAAAGCTGAACTGCTTTTTGAGGTATCATCTACTGTAGGCAATTAAAAAAACTTACAGTATGGACTATGGATGGGACTGTGATGCATGTAACCAAAATTGAACACCGGCCAGACTGTATAGTAAGGCCTGCACAGGGAATATATCCTCCGCGCAAAAATCTGGCCTAAAAATCCATCCACGCATTTTGGAAAATATGGGCTGATTTCTACGCAGACTTCGCTGAAAATTAGGTTTTGACTAAACCTTAATATATAACCAATGCAATAATTATGCAGCAATTCCGCACACATATTATTATCCTAGATAGCAATTTTCCCCACAAATTTGAGCTGATAGATATCCTCAGCGCAATTAAGAAACTTTACAGTTATGGATCAAACATGTCATTCAGATTGACATGACATATAAAAATTCGGCGCTAATGCACTTTTTACTCCACCCTAACCCTAACCATAATAAGTAACTCCAGTGACAGTGTAAATATGTTATTGTTAAAGGGTTTAGCCTAAAATTTAGGTAGAGTACTAAAGTGCATTAGCGCCAAAAATTCCATAAAAAAATCATAAATGGCAGTGTCGGTCCACCATAGAACTATTTCAGACACTAAGTTTAGACCTAGGCCTGCCTAGCCTAGCCTTGTACTAGCTGGACTAGGGACCCGCAGCAGAGTCTGACTGAGAGGCAGGCTAGCTAGACCCTAGGCCTAGCTTTAATAGCGTTAACTTCTTAATTATTTTAAACAAAGCATTTTCAACAATTATGTATTTACCTCGGAAGTTGTATACCACACACATATAGACTTCCGACGTACATTATTGCCAAGAGAAGACAATATATCACTGAATTCATTTCAGACTGGCATTCAAACGTTACCTCCATGGTGGCTGCCATTTTGTAAACAAATTAGTTGTGTACCGGTGGTGGCGCTAACTAATATTTTTAGAGCTAAAATATTAACATCCCATATTTGAATTAAAATAGTATTTTGTACGTTAAAGTACGATTTTATTTGAAAATTATACAAGAAAATATGTTCACCTATTCACTTATCATAGATAATTATTAAAATGTTATTAGAAAATTCAAAAATTAAAAATTCGCTGGTTTCACTTAGTTAGGCCCATACAACAATCCAGAAATCGATATTAATTTATTTTTACTAAGCAAAAGTGTTATTTTAATGTAGGTTGTATTTTTAAAAAAGATTTTTAAAAAAAGAAAACTTTTAAAATTTATTTAAGGAATGTTTGTATTTGGTATATATCCTATATACCCTGTTTTATTGACATTAGTTACCTAAGTATGTGCTTATATAGGCAAAAACACACATTAACGATTATTTAAGCTAGTTCTAAGAATATTAAAACATATTGACCTAGTTTTTAACCGGTAAGGATGAATGAAAACACTGCAAAAATAATCAATCTCGAGCTATTCCGAGCGGCTGAAGTAGCGTTATATACTGTACATTAGACAGGTGTTGAAATTATTTACTGCTAACTAAATACATATAAATACCATGTTGGGGAAATGGATCGCTCTGTGACATTTCAAATGTTAGAATCAAGCACATTTACAACTTTAACGCTCTATGAATGCTGTACACTGAACTACAAAAGTTCAGAACACAAACATGAAAGCCAGAAATGATGCATGGCATACTTCTAGCGGGTTGATGATATTTTTGGAATGTGTTAATGATGTTAGTGATGATAAGCCTAATGAATGCATGGTCGAGGTGAAGATTACGATGACGACGATGATGATGATACTATGATAACATTGGATATGCAACTACTCATTTGTATGTATACACACTTAGGCCTAGGCCTATTTACTGTAATAAGAATAAAGAAGTTACCTGACCCGTTTTCCAGAGGGGAAAACCTTGAAATTTGCAGTACGGTACTTAAATGTCATTAAAAAACGCCTCGGAAGTCAAGAAACCTCATTTCCCGCCATCTAGAAATCAACTTTTTCCCGGGGGCGGACCCCCGACTCACCTTTCTTTTTGGGGTTCGTCGATTCATGGAAAAATACGTATGCAACTACTCAATTTTTTCTGTATGTACCCGGTACACACATTAGGCTTATTTACTATAATAAGAATGAGAGAAATTTTCCTGATCGTTTTCAAGAGGGAATAAAACCTTGAGTTTTGAAGAACTTTGAAGTCATTAAAGGGCACTTCAGAAGTCGGGAAAGCTCATTTACCGCCATCTTGGAATCAAAATTTTCCCGGGGTGAACCCCACCCCCTCCCCCTTTCTTTTTAATGGAAACATTATAACCCCTCCTAAATTTGAACCCAGATCCGCCTCTGGATAAAGAGGAGGATATCTCTCTATGATAGTAATAAAGATAATGATGATGATGATAATGATGATGATGAGGAGAGGGAGGAAAATGATGATGATGATGATGATGATGATGACGATGATGATGATGATGATGATGATGATGATGATGATGATGATGATGATGATGATGATGATGAGGGTAATGGTGAGGATGATTTAAAGAATAGGGCTTTGGTTGATTTTACATAGGCTTAATGTTTAAACATTATTCAAGTTGCGTTTACAAGCCAGCGCGTTAGAATCACGTCAACATCGAGTTCAAACGGGTTGAAATTGTTACATACACGAATGTTTTTAGTACAGTACATCATTTACTTTCATTTCCATCGATGACACATGTCCACTCAGTCAAAAATGTAGGCCAAATTCCACTTAATGTCAATTAAGGTGGTATTTTATACACGTATTTGAACATTACATTGGTTATTGTAGATGGGATCTACTCATTGTGAGGAACTTAATCGAAATGACTTGAATGGCTTTGAAACAATATTAATTAGTCTCAAATTTGAATCTAGTCAGTGATCATATTTTGATGATATTTACTCTCTTGGTGATTTAGTGAATTGCAGCGGTTGTCATTCTTTGGATTCTGCGACGTTTGACTCTTGCCAGTTCGTGGGCATAAGAGTTGTTATGTACATTGCTCGTGGTATGCCAAGAATGACGGCCACGCAGCCCTTTATATGATTGCTTGTTAACCAAACAGAGCTTATCTGAGCACAGGGGTGATGACAACCCGTCTGATTCGTATGCTAGGTCCTCCCGTTCGCGTGCAGTGCGCGAGCCTACCACCGCCCGCGTTAACCCGGTTTATGTTTACAGAGCTAGAGGTGGCGAGGGACCGCAATATCCTCCGTGGCATTGCCCCTGGCTTATATCTGACGATTTTACAAAATTGAAAAAGATTAATGATGGCAGGAGCTTAAGATCGCTTGGAATTGTTTCATGTGGTTAGCGGGCTCGTCTGCTAACAAGCCCAATACCATGCGTAATTAGGTTAGTACGGTAGACGTTTGTGCATTAAAAAGCGCAGCGCGCGTTCATATCTCTCAAAGACCTACTGTTTCGCTCTCAGCTGTTGCAAACCAATAATTAAATTCTCAGGCGCCGAGGTGATACGATCATAACGATTCGACTAAAGACAATGGTTTCTAGAGTTGACAAATTATATCTTCTTTTTTGGAAACAAGAAATAACTCCATCCAAAACTCTAATAATTGTCAATGCTCATTTAAAGTACGGGTACTATTTGAATACATGATAGTTTATTATAATAATAATTAGTATTAATAAACGAATAAATCAAAAAAAGGTGGACATGGTCGGGAAGTAAATGAATGAACGAACAAACGATTGAACGAACGAATGGATGAATGATTGATTGATTGATTGATTGATTGATTGATTGATTGATTGATTGACGGACGGACGAACAAACGAATGAATTGATATTTGTTTAAGCATGCTATTAAACTGTTAGCCAACGTATTACGCATGACTCTACTTCTTTCCACTCGAGGTTTTTTTTTTTTGTATAATTTCGGCGATTATTTGAACATATACTGTTGCATATTCCTATTTGCATTAAATGCGGTATATATATTTATATATTATATAGTGTAAAAACAATGAAAAGACAATATATAATCATTGAAGGTTGACTTGCGGAACACAAATTTATTAAAATATAATAAAATAGAACGCATATTTCGATAGCTTCTGTTATCTTTACCGACGTTAAAGTGAGTAAATTTGGAAGATCTAGCATATACATAGTATAATGGTATTAACCAATGAGAACGAAGTTAAATATACAATCATTCAATAGTTCAGTGGCAATTTACAGCATTTTATCATTGTTTGCGTGTAATTAATTAGCTCATTAACTTGATATAAAGACAGCAGGCGCTATTGAAATATCCATTCTATTTTATTATATTTTAATAAATTTGTCAACCTTCAATTTATTTCACTTGGAGCACACACTGTCTCTTATACACATCTAGATGTGTATAAGAGACAGACATAATACATCGTGTAGCACTGTATTTACCTTTTTTTGATGATTAATATATATATAATTTAACGGCAGGCCTATATATATGCTGTCTCTTATACACATCTAGATGTGTATAAGAGACAGTATATATATTGTGTGTGCTTGTGATATGTAATTTTTCGAATGTTGGCCCTTGATGGCATTTGTAGTTCTAAATAAAATTTAAATAATAATTATAATAAAATAATACTAATTATTATTATCAATAATTATCTGCTATTATTAATATAATTACGTATCGGTCGGGTCCTACTAGTAGGCTTATTGATGTTGTAGAAAAGTAAGTTCGGGTGATGTGTATCCAAGCCATAACCTGTCGGTCTGCTGTTGAAAATTCATATAGCTATTTCTTTTTTTTTTAAATGTAGAAACCTTTATCTGACCCCACCGTTGCATAAGTTGGCATTAAATCACCTAATCAGCGTTCTTTTCCAGATCATGTTACAACAGAGTGTTCATTAATTTGTTTTATTACCATTATCGCAATGCCACCAGCACCCATGGGGACTTTAAATACGGCGCTGTGAAATCATAAACTATATCATAGCAATTGGAAAATCGCCACAGCTGGGAAAGATGGTAAGATCTTCCCCACTGTGGCCTTTAAAGCCGGGCACTCATTGTGTCGTCGTACGACCGTCGGCCCACGAATCCAACTCAATTCCCTGTGAGCGCGATAGACGACGCGACGCTGATTGTTGGCGGCAGTCTAAACGGATCGTCATTTAAAACGATCCAATGCGCGCGCGTCGTAGCGTTGCGTTCTACATAGAATCATATGCGTCGGGCGCCGACGCCAGTCGGGCACAGTGAGTGCCCGGCTTAACCAATGAAAAGGTTGCTTGAAACTGGCAAATATATATACAGACTAAATTTTACAGACATAAACCACCTAACTTTTGGATGTTCCTTAAATTCAATCACCTTTTCGATCATCAGTTGCACTACTGATAGAGAGTCCACGCTTATATCAATGTATATCAAATTTGTTAGGCACATCAGTTGCAATCCACCCCCCATGCGAACGATTTAGGATTAAAGTCTATTATCGTCGAAATTATAGTTCCGTCGATATTTAGGTTGAAGTTGAGTTATTCAGACTGAGTTCAGTGAAGTATCTGGTTAAAGATACAAGAAAACTACTTACAGGATAATAATAGTCAGTCGGTTTATTTGTGTAACTTACTTGACGTGCAAGATGCGAATTACATCCGTCCAAGCTAACAACGCCTATCTATAATATTGATATTGTTGTTGACGCGATGTTGACGCAAAGGCATAAACCCCATTGCTGAATCGTTATCCCCAGTGAATGAGAGGTGTTTTGATATCGAATACTAAGATACAGGGTGTGAGAGGAGAGATGCGTATAGGGAAAAATACATCTACTTAAATTTGACATTTTAACCATAAATATTTATATACTATAATAATAATCATCATCAAATAGTATTTCAATATCGTAGCAGACTTGACTCGT